TGTACAAGTATGCGAGGGGAATGTGCAATGACAGCCTATATTGAAGGTGCTATGTTTTGTCCTGTTCCTCTGTGATTGTCAGTGTGGGATGATTTTTGCAAGGAGTGGTGGATTGTTCCCCAGATAGGTTTTGAAAACTTAAGTTGGGAGCTGAGTAAGATCTTCTCTATGGAGGCTAGGATTGTGGGGGATTTCTATGTCCAGGGTATCCCTGCAGAGGTGACAATGGCAGTTGATTGAGGCTGTCTAGGCAGTGGTCATGAGTGTCTGGGCTGTGGACATTTGCTTGATCTAGGTCCAGCTGTAATGGAAACTCAAGGTATGTGAGTGTGCATTCCATGGTAGAACATTAGACCTCAGGGAAGTTTTGTGGGGACCTGGCATAGCATTGGAGTCTTAAGGGTGGAGTCACTGCCCCTCCAGGAGCCCTGGATCCACAGAAGCAGAGCCTTGGGTACTGGGGGAAACCTTAGAGCCTCAGTGGGTAGATCCATGATCCTAACAGCTTCTGTGAGGCCCTTAGCAATGAAGCCTCAAGCCTAACCCCAGCAGGAACCACAGACCTGGCATAGCAGCCTGGAGGCAGGGTAGGAACAACATGGGCAGGCTGTAGGGTCAGACCACATCATGGAAACTTGTAGGTGGAGCCATGTGGGTTGTGGCTGGCTCCAATAGTGCAACAATTGCATAGGTAGCATTTCACAGGTGAGGGGCAATTCCAGAGGCATGGGGATTGCATACGGGGAGCCACATGGGCTATACAGGGTAAGCAGCAGCATGGAGTTACAGGGGGTGGGACTGGGGACTGGGGCTGCCACGTGGCCACATTCCTTTTCCTACTCTGGTTTCCCTGAGACATTCACTACAAACCTTCTCTGGTATTGTCTCTGTTACCTGAAGTGCCCTTCTTCTCAGATCCCAAATGCAGGCTGTAATACCCAATGGTCCACTAAAGCCAAATATGACATCGGTTCTTGGAGATAAAGAAAGGTGTATTCAATTCATACAAAGTGAGAAGATGGGAGAACAAAATGTTGCAGATTCATCTTTCATCTTTCAAAAGAGATGAAATGGAGAGGTTTTATGTGGCTAATGGGTAAGGAAGGGAATTTCAGAGAACTGAGAGCGAAGGCTGTGTTTCTTCAGTTTGAGATAACACGTTGAGCAATCAGACTTCTGAAAATCAGCAGCTGACTTCCTAAAAGGCATTCATTTATTCTACAAATCAAACTCAAACATTTTTCTTGTGACCCTAGAGTTGTCTCCTCCTTCTTAACCAACAATATACCAGCAGTTGATGATTGCTGTGAGTACAAGAAATATTGGGGGAGGAAGCAAGTGGTTACAAAGTGAATACAAACAAGAACCTCGTCAGAATTTACATTATGTTGGTCACTAAAAATGGTGGGGTATGAAAATCTCAGAGGCCTGGCTACACCATTATCTTAAAATACTCAGTATGCCAAGAGTCACATTTTGGGGTACAGGTAGTCTCTGGGTTATGAACAAGATAGGTTTTATAGGTTTGTTCTTAAGTTGAATTTGTATGTAAGTCAAAGCAGGTACATTTGTCTATTACCTGTGGTAACCCCCATTCAACTGACTCATACGTCAGTTGGATTTTGTAACCCAGGAACTTACTATAAGAGCCTCCGTTCATAAATGCGAGTTGCAGGTATAAGTTGAATGTTTATAACTCAAGGACTGCGTGAATTGTGTACTGAGCCCTGACAATGGAAATTAAAAAATTTTCACATCCATCCAATTAATCCTTGGGCTTGACTAATATGCTAGAGTGGCTCACAGAACTCAGAGAAACACTGACTACAGTTTACCTGTTTATTATAAAGAATATTACCAAGGATACAAATAAACAGTCAGATGAAAAGATACACAGAGCAAGATCTGAAATGGTTTTAAGTGCAAGAACTACTGTTCCCAAGGAGTTGGGATGTACCACCCTCCTGGGCACATAAATGAGTTCTTGGTTACCTTCCTGCAAGCTTCATGTTTAATTGTCCAGAAGTTTTGTATATCCCATGTTTTGTGTCTTTCCATGAAGTCTTCCTTAGATAGGAATAATTGACCCATAGACAACTATGACAGACTGAATGGGGAAACTCAGCAGGCTCTATCTGTTGAGATGATTCTTGGCCTGTCTGTAGCATTCCTTCCTCCAAGGTATGGGGCAGGTC